AGATTGTAACAGTTGAAGTCTAAATTTTCGCAATAATAAATTATTATTAACAATGTGTGAAGCTGAAGAACCATGGGAAATTGCCCAAAGTTGTCCGCTATATGTTTGGGCCCAGCAGCGTCTAATTCTAACCTTGTCCGGCCGCTCCAGAGCCCCATAGATCCAGCTAGATGGTGGCAAAACAGTTAGCGGTGAGTTATTTTCCACAAAATATAACAATCACCGGCAGCTTACCTGGCATTAATCTAAGTGCCCAAGACACATCTAACGTTACAATTAATGTAAATAGCAATTGTACATTCCGTACAAAACTTTAATTTCATTTAAAAACACAATTTCGTTCTTTTGACGTTTATTCTATTTGTTATTTGACAATGGCATTTGTAACTACAAATCTTAAAAACAAATTACACCAGTTCTGTTAAAATTATGGAATATATCTTAAAAAATAAATACCTATATTTACTGCCAAATTATCTCACAACAGTAACTCTCAGATTTGCGTTACATCAGTATATAAGATACTTCACTTCAAAATTGTTTTAACAAATTTCATAATTTTTGCTTCCCGAGCGTAAGCTAACGAAGTATGTATAGTAATCGAGTCAATCGGGCGACTTGCCAGTTTCGTGTTTTCTTGACATTTCTTGACCCCTAGAGTACGAAAAAAATGGTCTCCCATTTCCGTTTGTCTGTCGTCTCTGTGTCTGTGTTTCTCTATCCGTTTGTCTGTGTCGATATTTATCAGGCAGATATTAGTCTCCGGAACTACTGGATCGATCTTGTAAAATTTTACATGTGTATTAGGAAAATCATGTAGATGGTAAAACGCTAACCAAAATTTGGTTAATCATCCCCAGCAACAATGGAATGACGTCATCTCCAAAATTTACAATAGCGAATATTATTGGACCCGTGTTGAGTTTTTACCCTAGACCTAGACATCCAGATTTTTGGAAAAAATAACAAATCGAATAACAATATTCTACAGTACAACTTTGAAATTGCAAAACCGAATGCTCTGAAATCTTACAAATTTTCACGACTGTCGTAAACATGGTGAAGTAGTAATCAAAATTTATCCGTTTACCGCTTCCCAAAAAAACTGATGACGTCATCTCAAAATTTTTCTGACTAAATAAATACTATCTGAAATACACCATATTATAACTCTTCACTTGTGCTTTATCAATGAATTCATAGTGTTTAATATTACTCATACAGGGTGACACAAAACAATAAATTAAGAAATTGATTTTTTTATCAAATCAAAAACAACTCACCTTATTTTCCTGAAAATGTGAGTATACAGTACTGTTATTATTAGTATTGCACTGCATCTATTCAAACTGATATACGAAATTTTGTTACGGAAACACTCACCTGAAACAAACGCATAGCGTGCTCCTTTACCTGTAAGTTAACAGTCCACACATAACTTTATTTTAACTTACAGGGTTTATCATTAAAAAATAATATTTGCAAAATTAAATTTCATAATTTTTCTAAGGAACCGTATTTGTCCGAGTGTATCTTATACATAGACGAGAGAATTTCTGTCGAAAAAACCTTCAACCATTTTTTTTTATATTCAAATGATTCCTTATACATTTTCTCGTGGAAAAGTGTTTGTTTTTAAGTGACTCAGACAATAAGCAACTTGCTATTAATTTTGTCGAACGCTTCGGACGAATTCGTAAAATTCCACAAAAATTATTTTAATTATTGGGGCAACCAAAAATTTTATTGTAGGTTGTTTAGACTATCTAAAGAAGCTGTACCAAATTTATTACACTTAATTCATGTGCCATAAAGCACCTTACAAATCGACTGTAAAATATCCACATTCCAACCAATGTAAGATGATTAATACATTTATTTCAGGAACCACTCGTTTACTTGAAAGAAAATTATCTTAATAACACATTTTTTGTTACTGGCAGTTTTTGAACTGTGATTGGCCATTTTGGAGTTGTTCACGAGATTACTGTGGCTAAAGAGATGTACAGAGTGAGTGAGGGATAAAAGTTATGTTAAAAATGAAAATTGAAAATAGATATTAATAATATAATGCATTATTTTTAAATTAGTACTAGTCCATAGTTTCTGTGGTTTACAAAATTACGGACTGCATTTTTTGGGTTGATTTACTTTTCTTTCACATTTTAGTAGTACGAGGAAAAGTGTCTGAGGTTTAAAAGTGCGCGCCCTAACTGATCAAGTACTTAAAGCACATGTTCGAATTAGAAACTGATTAAATAACCAAGAAATATTTATAACCTTTCAATTTTCGTAACCGTACAGTGAAATACGCTTAACCAAAATTTATTTATTAACCATAATTTTTTTAATTAACCGACAACTGAAATATCGGACCCTAGTAGGTATAGTGAAGACAGGTCCATAATTTGTACAGTGCTTCAACAAGAGTAGAGTTTTTACGACTTTGACTACCCCACTACCGTCGTCAACAAACCCTACAGCTTTATTAGATGCAGATTTATGACATCATAACAAACTTAAAGGGCTTTGTTGTGTTTTGTTGCCAAGTTTCTCCTAAACAGGAAGGTTATCTGTTTAGCAATATTAGCTTAAAACGCTCTTTGTTTGCAAATAAGGGGCCTGAAATGTCAAAATCATAAAACCACACAGCTAACTTAAAATTTTAACACGTTGCAAAAATCTTTAAAAAAAAGCTGCGAATATCTCCAACGCCTGACGTAATAAGTTTGAATAAATTATAGCAGTAACTACACCTGAAAAAAATCAGTTTAACAATTTTGACTTGGAAGGTTTAATTGGGAAGCCCCTTTCTTACGTTACATCAACTACTTATGGTTATTAAGGGTATTATACATTTGTTAGTAACAGAGAAGTACTCGTACAACACTTTATGCTCAATAAATTAATTAAGCAGTTTTGATGTAGGTAGATTTAAAGCAATTGACGAAAGTGTCAACCAGTTAGCTTGGGGTCAGTAAATTCTGAGCCATTAAAAAATTACAATTGCTCATACTTTGCTTCTTCGGTTTAAAATGGACCCATTGAAACAATCATCTGAATTTCCCAGGCATTAATAGAATATTATGTTTCACTAATTTGATTTTTAACTACAGATGTAAATCAAGCCAGCTGTCATTAAAATTTAAAGTGTTAAACTATAGTGACTCAAGAAAGGTAGAGGGAACTAAAACAGTTGAACCGAACGTATTCACATACATCTCACGAGTCAGGTATATTAAAGTCACCTGGCAAGATATCAAATATGTTCTTCAAAAACTGTAACTAAAACCAAATTTGCCTTCACAAGCTCGGGGAAATTAATGATATATCTAAGTAATTGCCAAGAATTCTGTAATCTATTTGTTGTTAAATATACATTCTCATCAGAATCTTATGTCCTATTGTTAAGTGTCTACCATCTTGTTACAGTTTAACACCTAACATAATTTCAAATACTAGAATAAAAATTGGTCTAAGATTATTTAGACAGAAATGCCTTCGTCCTAGATGTACAAGTACAACATATACAGGTTTTTCGAAAATTTATAAAATTTGATTTTGCGAATTTTACTTTTTTGTAATTTAAATTAAATGTATGCGTGTAGTGACAAAGTAAACATAAAGAAGCATGCTATGCATGGTTTCAAGTGGATTGAGTTGTTTCATTACAAAATTTTGTGATGTAATCATCAACATTTTAGTAAAGATAGGTACCAATATCAATTTGAATAGGGTCAATGTAACAATAATGTATAGTATTGTAGTTCCAAATTTCTGAGTCAGCCGTTCCTTTATTTGATTAGTGCGTGAAATAAATTACGTCACTCATTTTTTTTTGCCACACGTGAATCACAACAAGTATAAACTCATAATGTTTTGCACACTTTAGATAGAATTTATTAGGAACATTTTGAAATGACATCTTCAAATTTTTTAGGGGATAAATTTTGATTAACGATTTATCGTGCTTACGATAACCTTAAAACGTATCAGTTTTCAGAGTATTCTGTTTTGCAATTTCAAAGTTAAATTGTAAAATGTTTTTTTTTTCAAAAATTTGGATGTCTAGGGTACAAAAACAAAACGGATTTATAAGCTACAAGTGTATCTAATATTAGTTTATTTTATAAAATTGAAATAACATTTATTATGCAACATTTTGAAGTGACCTCATTAGATTGTTGGTGGGAATGGTGAGACACGTGTTCCTAACATACGTGTATAAAATTTTACAACAATGGGTGTGGTATTCGGAAACGAGTGACTTTTTTTTTTCATAATCTAGGGTCATGAAACGGCGAGAAAACATGAAAGTAGCCATTCGTCGGATGCACCCCATTAATAATAATAATAATACATACTTCCTTAGCCTACCCGCGAGAATTAACAATAAGAAGACATTTCTATGATTTTTCAATATATGGTCACAAAAGAAGTACAATATGCAACTCGTTTTACTAACTGCTCAATATACCCATTATTTTTAAATACTTTCCCCCCTCTTACCTAAAAAACCTGCGATTAAAGTGACATAAAACTGATGGGTTATTAGAACCGCTTCATCTATTTTATAACATAAATGAAGGTGTGACACCGAAGCTAGTCCACGACATAAAAAGTGTTTCCTTTTCTGTCCACAAAAAAAAAGAAAAACATACTGTATATAATACGTCCAGTATGGCCAATCACAACACGATCTTGCTTTGTGTAAGTACGAGTATATTACATTTACTCCAACTGTTTAATTGAAAAAACCAATGTAGTTTCCACTGCCACAAGTTGATATTTGAATACCAAGAAAAGAACATTTTTCGTTTGACATACGCCAGTATTAAGAATAAGCAAAAAGTTATATGCAGAAACAGTTTTCTCCCTTCTAAGTAAATTATTTATTTTCAAAAATATTTGCAAAGTAAAATATTTTAGAACGAAAATTAATTTAAAGTCTGATATAAGTAAATTAAAGGTATTAAGGTAAAGGTTTAATAAAATCAAAATGTTTCAGAACTTTTTATTTAAAATAATGGACAAATTTAGAAAATACTATCAACAATCATCATTAACAAGCTGTAATTCTTGGTCACTTTTATCTCTCCAAAGTTTTCTTTTTAACCGACTATGACCATCTTTTAGTGGACAATATTTCAATAGTATTTTACAGACAATCACTACCAAAATCAAAATTAATAATGTATTGTTGGTAAGTAATTTGGAGTTAATATCAGCAAAAGACTTTGTCTCTAAATTAATTAAATCGGGGGAAGTTGTTACCTCATCCTGACAAGCTACACCATCAATATTTGTAACATCATATTCACCAGCACTTATAATTTTAATACTTCTGTATTCTTTTAAGAGATTAATTAAGAGTATACATGACCAACCATTACCAGATAGATCTATTCGTCTTAGTACAGGTAAATGGGATAAGGCATTTTCTATATTTACATAACTGAAATTGTTAAAACCAAATTTTAATACCTGAAGATATCTTAAATTATGAAAAACACCCTCGTTTAAAGTTGACAAATTATTATGAGATAAATCAAGGCTATACAAGTTTTCTAATCCTACAACAAATCCTATTTTTAATACTGCAATACGATTATTTGAAAGATTAAGCTCTCTTAAAACTTTAAGATCTCTAAAACATCCTAGTTGAATTCTAGAAATTTTATTATTACTTAAATCTAAAATAAAAAGCCATTTTAAAGCTTTAAACATATTAAATGTCACTTCAGTTATGTTATTAAAACTTACATTTAATGATTTTAAATTAAATGCGTTGGTTATATTTAGCCCCGAATTCACATTGTTGAAACTCAAATCTAAATCTTGTAAAGAAGTTGGCAAGTTTAAAACGTCTTTATTATTTAAATAATTTTTGGAAAGATTGAGTTTTCTAACTCGCGTATTATTTGAGAATAAATTAAACTGTAATTGTTTAATTTGATTGTTTGCTAGAGAAAGAACTTCCAGTGAAGAAAGATTATTAAAAAAGTCTTTATCAATTGAATTCAACCCTATGTGGTTTTCGTCTAAATATAACTCTTTTACCGACAAATTTTTTAATGAAAAATTTGTAACAGAGGTCATCCCGCTTGATCGTAAGTCAATGATTTGAACAAATGTATATTTTAAAAAATTTAGCGATTGAATCAAATTATAACTAACATTTAACACTAATAGTGGATTTGAAATTGAAAAATTATTTATTGCTCTTATGAAATTATTATTTATGTAAATATTTTGTATAAGTGAATTGTTTGATAGTGTAGATCCATTAAAACAATTTAAATTGTTATTATTAAGAAATATGGTTTGCAAACTTTTTAAATTTTTAAACAATCCAGGTTCAACTGTCGTTAGTTTGTTAAAAGAAAGGTCCAAAATTTCAACTCCTGATAAATCCTTAAATGTGTTTAAAGATAACGTGGTTAAAAAATTATTTTGTAATATCAGTCGTTGTAAGTACTTTAGACCCACAAAACTTGTTTCTGAAATACTTGCAATATTGTTATAACTCAAATCCAATTCCACTAATTTAATTAATTCAATAAAATGGCGCTCATTAACTTCCACAATCTTGTTATCTTTTAATGAGAGTTGTGTCAAGCTTGTTAACCCATCGAAAGCTCCTGGTTGTATTAGTTGAACACCTGCCCCATTAATCCTTAAATCCGGTATATTTTTTAGCATGACGAAAGCTTTAGCTGGAATTTCAGGAGAATTTGTGTTGTTGATTTGCAGCCACTGTATCTGTGAATTTGTTGTGAGTGGTAAGACCTTTTCAGAAAAGTCAGAAGATATAAGTTCATTATTGCACTCTATATACTTTTTTGCCGTGGATGTTCTCAACGAAACTCTTGAAAATCGGGAGTAGTAAATCGGTGGTAAAACATTAAGGGAAATACAGCTCTGATAAGCTTGTTCAAATGTTGCTGATAATATTATTATTACAGTTAGCCTAAAAATTAGGTAAACGAATTACTGACATAAAATGGTTGTTTGAGACTTACCAAATATTCATTTCTTTGCTGAATTAAAAAACACCAGTCCACCAACTAAAATCGTTTTCGATTTATTACTAGAATAGTCGTACTTGTGGTTGTCAATGTCATTAGTAATCACTAAACCGATGATAACTTTATCACATTTCCTATTTCTTCTCCTGGAAATGCACAAATATGTTAACAGACAGTTTGATAAAATTGTCATAAGCTTGCCTCAATAAACGCAAACCGTAATGAGTTTAATAGAAAAATTGTTTCATGTGGTTATTTACATCATTCGCGTTGTTTCGTGGGGCCATACATGCATTTAGTATTTTAGAGTTACTTACCAAGTACGAACAACTTTTATCCGGTGTTATTTCGATAAGATTAATAAACGTTAAAAAAGTAATAATATTAAAACAATAGACATACAGATGCAAGGAATAAAATCAGAATAATAATATTAATAATAAATATTATTATTAATTAATTATTACAACAACCTGGCATCAGCCAGATTAGTCATAACCGTCATAAACTTTATTTCATATAGTACTTTTGACAATACCCATGAAAAATACCTCGTTTACTTTTTAAGAATTAGAATTTTCTTCATTGTCTACGCACAAATGCCGATCTTGGAAAATTATTCAGTCTTAACAAAATATTCGCTTAACAACTGATGTTGATTTGTCTACTATTTTATACAATTATTCAGCATATGACAATATCTAAACCGATTTTGCGAATTTTTGTGATAATGTCTATAATATAAAACAAATATGCAGTGATAAACCACAACTATAAACTCATAATGCTTTTTTCATATTTACACATAAATAACAAGTGCAGGAGTACCTATATTACTTTATAAAATGTAAGCAATATTTATTCAGCAAAACTGTAAGATCACGTCATCAATTTTTAACGGAGGGATAAACCGATAGCTTTTGATTAACGATTTACTATACTTCCGGTAATCTTAAAACATTTGCAAGATTTCAGACCATCGGTTTTACAAAGTTTGGTTATCGTTTTACCATCTACACGGTATTGATAACAGATACATAAAATTTTTTCGGACGGACGATTTAAAATATTGTCACATAATTTTTATTTTATATTAGAAAAATCTGGAAGATTAGGGTAAAAAATCGAGACGACTTCACAAACCACAACTATAGAAGTGTTATTGTAGGTATAAAATTTATATACTCCTAACATTTACTATGCACAATTTTTAAGTAATCACTCATGACGTTGTTGCTAGGAATGTTTAAACAAAGCTTACTTAACACTTTGCCATCCACTACACGACAGTTCTAACATAGGTATACATGAAATTTTTCCACAATTGGTGTAGTATGTAGTTTCGGAGATTATCTGCCTAATAATAATCGACACAGACGACACACGACAGGCGACAGACGACAGAGAAGCGGAAATAGGGGACATATTGTGTCATACTCTCGGAATCTTGAAACGTCGAAAAAACGTTAAAATAGTCACTCACCGGATGGATTCCATTACAAAACTTCCTTCGCTTACCTTTGGGAATCCATATACAGTATAAATGCGGACATTTTGCAAAATCACTTTTTTTAGTTAATATTTTAAGACAAGATCATCAACTTTTGATGGGAAGAAATGTAGGTACTCATTTCAGTATGCATAAGGTAACACTAATTGGAACTTTACTGTATTTTCAACTGAGTTGAACAAATTCGAAAAACTACCACGTCATCGACCTTTTTAAATAAAGCTTCATTCATTAAAATAATTTTATGTAATATTCTGTAATACCTAAATAATTATTTATTAATAACTGCTGATTTAAAACCTGAGTGTTATACTTGTTGCAATAAACTACAAAATTTATGCATTATTATTTTTTCCGACTTCCCGAGTGTAAGCTAAGGAAGTATTGTCATAGGGTCCCCTAGAGCGTGAAGTAACAGCTCTTCCATTTCCGTTTGTCTGTGTATATCGATTTTTATTAGACAGACAGACGAAAGTATCGATTGTTGTCAAATCTTACACATATTTTAGAAATATCACGTAAATGGTAAAATGCTAATCAAAATTTTTCTGGTCATCCAAACCAACAAAGTGGTGACATCGCCCCCAAAATTTTACACAGCAAATGTGATGGTTTACTTGGTATAAAATAACATAATCGTACACTTTTGGTTCATGAATCCGCCCTGAGTTTTTAACCTAGACCCCTATTAATTGTACATTACATGCATGTGTATGTAATGTTAAAGTAAATATAAAGCGATATTTCAAGTGAGTTTTTACTTTACACAATTTTGTAACGACGTCATTAACATTTTTACAACGACACGTATATCAACTTCGATTGGTGTAGTGTAATACTAATAATAGCAGTAGTCTGTTCCCAAATCTTCGCGAAAGTGGAGTGAGTCGTTCCTGATTTAATCAATAAATTAAACTGACTCATTCATTCAATTTTTTGAGTCACCCTCTATAAGCCATTCCAAAAAATATGAATGGAATGATAAATCACAAATATGGACTCATATACGTTGCACAGTTTAGATAGGATTTATTCGGCAAAATTTTGAAATGACGTTATCAATTTTTTAGGGGGGATAAAAAATATATTTTAGTTAAAAATATACCATGCTTACGATAATTTTAAAACAAGACTTCAAAGCATTCGGTTTTGCAGCTTGTGGTGTAATCAATAAAATAAATTGACTCATTCATTAGTTTTTTTTGAGTCACCGTGTATAAGCATTTTCAAAAGATATGTATGTAATTATAAATCACAAGTATAGACTCATCATATTTTGCACATTTTATTTATATACCTAGGATTTATTAGGCAAAATTTTCAGATGACGTCATCGAGGATAAACACATATATTTTGTTTAGAAATTTAAGATTTCAGAGCATTCGGTTTTGTGTTTCAAAATTAAATTGCAAAATGTTCTTATACAATGTTGACATTTTTTTTCAAAAGTCTCGGGTAAAAAATCAACACTGATTCATAAACTATATACTTACATGTGTAGCACCATGTTATTTTATACAAAACCCATTTACCATGTACAATTTTGAGGTGACGTCATCACATTGTTGGTGGGATCTTATATTAGACAAAGTTTGGTTAGCGTTTTACGATCTACACAATACACCCAAAATTTAACAACGATCAATCCGGTACATTTCCAGAAAATTTGCATCAACATAACGATTTCACAGGGCAAATTTTAATATTTTAAGCATTTTTTTCCTACAAGAAAAAATTGTCTAGAAACTTAAAACTACCGTCACATTTTTTGTTATACATATGAATACTAATTGCTTGAAAACAAGTCTGCCTCATGGACTCGAAACTCGATTGCAATAGTTCCGTCGCTTAGGCTAGGGAAGTAAAAAATCAGTGTTCTCAGGTCAACACTATTAACAAAGGAGCCAACTGAAAGTCACAAAAATTAAACCATGCAGACAGCATAATAAAATTATAATAATTTCAAAATATGTTTTAGAAAAAAGTTTTATCCCGTAAAGGAGAGTAAGAAAATGGCTCAACTTCAGATTTATAATGGGTGGCGATCGAAAGAGAACCATTGAAAAAAATAAATGGTCCGGTTTTCCATATTTGTTAACTAAAAGATGATTCTCAATGTTTTTCATTAAAATCAAAAATCATACGGCACATCCTATTTGGTTTTTCAGATGGAACGACCCCTACCTAGAATGCAATACGACAATACGTGTACATACAATTGCGCAGATTAATCTAATTGTATGTGTGTCAACGGTTAAAATTTAAAAATCTTTTTCACGAAATCCGTCTTTTTTTACCTTCTTTAATTGTTTTACCAGCAGCTATAATAACAAAATAAACTAGTTCACAGGCGAAGGTCGTTATTAAAAAGCAAAAACGCTCGTGGTGACAATGTGGTCGCTTGATTACCTACATGTTTTGCAAGCGTCATCAGTAGATATATCCTGATTATATTTACAAAGGATGTTAATGCCCTAACAGCTGAGGGCCACGCCTGCCGTTTTTACAGACTCCACGGTCGACTGCTTTTTTCTTTTAATTCACGGTTCGCTGGAAAATATTCCAATAAGAATTTTAAATACTTATTAAAATTTTATGGACATTTTGTACATACACATAAGCATTTCTGTCAGTTATCATATATATTTTTGTTGTGAACTGAGCATCCCACAGCCGCAACTCTTTTTCCGCATTTATTCGTTAATTAAATCAGTTTGTGTGGTATGATTAACGTGTATGATTTCATGGACAGAATAACCAGTTTCATCTTTTCAAATAGAATATTTGAGCTGTTTTTTTTGCTACCCAAAATTTGTTCTTGGACTGAGATTCAAAATTTCCAAATGTATTTTTTCATTTTAAGGTATTTTCCGGAAATGTTTATAGTATATTAATTAAAGAAAACATTTCTTAAACCCTCAAGAAGAAAAAAAATTAATTTTGGCATATAATCGAAGCCATATGATGTGGCCATCACTAACAATAATCGCATCACTAACATACTTTTTTGACGATTCCTGTTTCAAGTCAAAAAGCAACAAAAATGAAACACTTTGTCAAGAAGGTAATAATTTTTATTTAAAGAACGATAAACATGACACAAAGGAAAACACTATTATCGTTAAAAAATCAACAAGTGTCAATTCTAAAAATTCTGTTATTATTTATTTATGTCTCTTCTGTATCTAAATAGCGCTTTATTTAAACTCGAAAGAACCATAGGTCGCTTGACAGAACACAGTAAAGACGCCACTACTAAATCATTCAGCATATTTTGTTCTTATAATGCAGTTACCGAAATAATGATGTGTAAAAAGTTTTGCTAACGAGACTTAACTAAGTGCAGAACGAATTTGGTTTACTTCGCTAATTAAAAATATGCTCATCTTTGAGTATATATTTTGAATTAGTAGATACTCGTGTACTTACTTATGCGGGAAATTTAAAATAAGTAAAATTTAAATTGCAATTTTAGTCTGATAGTAAAATAGTATTAGACGTTCCGTAGATTTTTTTTTTTCAAAATTTATCAAAATAAAAGTTTTGATTTGTGCTTTCAATTTTCTTCAAAGAATTTTAGTGGAACTAGTGTCTAACTTGGCCACTAAGATGTGTTGAACATTAAATATATTACACAATGCTTTTCCATACTAATGACAAATCACTACATGGTATAAAACAAAGTCGCTTTCCGCTGTCTGT